TTTTAACATATAAGGATGGCATAAAAGGATACTATCTGAAAGTTTATGAAAAGTTATTTTTGTGGTTGGTGCAATTTTCAGGTATGACATTAGCAGTATCATCTCATATCTTAAGTAATGGTGGTTCTTTGTTCTTTTATCCATTATAAATAAGAGGTGGTACTGGTGTTCTGGAGCTTTTGGACGGTCAAAAGGTATCAGATTTATGACTGAAGACATGAGCTGCTGGATCAGCAATTTAAAGCAAACTGGGGTTTTGTAGTAATGTTTTTACTACACCAAATAAAGTATTTGTTCATGTGGTAATTCAGGTAACATTTTAATTTCTTTCACTAGTTTAGAAACACATTGTGCAACAGATCAGTGAAAGAATGCAGAGCTGCTAAAGTGCCCTCCCCCCGCCCATCTGGCTTCTGGTATCTTTTCCTATTTTGCACTCAGAGGGAAAATAGTATCTCCTTTGTAAGCAATGAATATTAATCCATTACTATTGTACCAATAGGTAAGACACTTTAACATTATAACTACTCAACATGGTAGTTGCAACAGAAAAATCACAAATGATCACATAAAAAGATTGTACATGATCACAAAGAAATTAGATCCATTTGGAATAATACGCTCTGAATAAGACTGCAAAAGTGATAAGGCAAAAAAAGGCCCCAGGATCCATCTTTTCTTCACTAGATGCCTTCACAGCAATCCAAAAAAAAAAAATCTAATGTTAACTGTAGGTTATATTCTGCAAATCAGATCCTCTAATCCAGGCTGGGAGGATTTTTTTTATTATTATTATTTTTTTTTTTTAAGGATTTCAGTTCAACTATCAGATATACTACTTTCAGACACTCACACTCAAGCCAAATTTCACCTTAAAAAACTTCCCTTCTTTGTCTAACATCCATTGACTCCTCTCATGTTATCTATCACTCTGTAGAGAATAAGGTGTTATTATTTTGACTCAACCATACATAATTACTCCATGAGGGACTGGTCTGAATTCTTAAAAGGTCCAGTTAAAATTCAGGAAGGGAGGAAAGTAAGTTTATTGGAAGCATACACTAAATCATTTGGTTGGGTTGGTGAGTAAACACAGGATAAAAACCAAACATTAATCTTGATTCTCAAAATATTACTGCAGAAAAAAAAAAGAGGTGGGTGACAGTGAGAAAACTTGGAAGAATGGACATGGTAAGGAGGCTGGCTGGAAACACTTACCTTGCTGAGCATTAGAGTGGAAGAGGCAAATAGGCTAGAGTTTTGAAGCAAACCAACCACTGGATGACAAATACATCCATCCCGAGGCACTGCTAACTGGTGGCTCAGAGAACAAACCACGCACAACAAGGCCACAAAGTCTACATCCCAAATCACCCACCAACTGGCTTCACTGATAGTCTGGAACAAAGGACCTGATGAATACTGAGGATCTTTTCTGACATGCACTTTAAAATGTTAGGCAACAAATAAGCAAAACCAAAAAGTTACAGTACATCCATGGCAAGCGGTTAAGGTAATAACCCCATCCATTAAAGAAGGAAGGCAAGAGGGAAAGTGGTAAACGTCAGTTGCCATTATAAATGAAAACACTTCAGGATTTACGTTAAATAAAAAAGCAAAATGGTATCTTATAAAAGATGTACCGAGTAAGACAAAGCCACAATAAATTAGTGTTTCCATAAAACTACATGCTGAATGTTTTGTTCCCAAGTCTATACATTTTTTACTGTCTGGTAATTCCTAAATATAGACAGCATAATTGAGTAATTGAGGTACATTAGTTTACATTTTTATATGTTTTGTAAAAAGGTTATTTTTTCTCTTCCAGTTTTTCTTCTTCGTCTCCAAAGAAAAACAAAGGAAACATTCCTAAAAGGCAGCCAATGGTTACTCCAATAGCTTTACCCTAAGGAAAGAAAAGGGGGAGGGGAAAAAAGGAAATGACCAGTTGAATTGTTTGCAATACAACTGTGACCTCACTTTTGTAACAGCTCCCCTACCCAGGAATAATGTCCCACTGGTCTCACCACCATACTACCCCACTGTAAGAACAAGCAAAAGCAAAATACAGTACACAGTGGGTTATCAGAACACTTTCCTTAACTTAGTCTTATCAGGTGCCTATACAAGCGTGCAGAAGCTGCTGTGATTACAGTGCATCAGGGCACTCAATTAACCAGTGCAGAGACACTGACACACAAGACATGGAGCCTGGCTGGAGTGCAGTAATTACCAATGCTCCAGCAGACTTGATTAACCATGGAGCATGGTAATTGCCATGCTACAGCCAGCCTCCCCATCTTGTTTATCAGCACCCCTGCGCATTTCATCAAACGAGCTTTAGTTCAAGCGCCCCTGCCCCCACTGCCATTTTGAAATGAAGGAATGCTATCACAAGACACTGTGACACTTTAATTAGAGCAGCTCTCAGACCCGCTAATTAAAGCATCTCCCCCGACCCCCCACTGGAGTGCATGTAGAAGTGCCCATTGTGCCCTGAAACAGGCAACATATGGTCATAGAAGGGGGTGAAGACATATGCAATATTGGCACAGCATAAGGAATGGGGTCTACAATATGTCAGAGCATATGTCTACAATATTGGCAGAGCATAAAGAATGGGGTTTACCACCATAAGACATGTATGTAGGGCAAAAGGGACTTGAATTTATATAGTAAATGAAAAGTTAGTGGAGATATTCATAAAATGAGTAACATGGTTAGACTGACAGGCAAGGCAGACACATTCAAAGCTCAACTGCTGGGAGAATAAGGGACTTATGCAGGTGTCAGAGAGGCCAGAGAAGATTAATCACAATGGGATTTGAGGGCTTGAGATAGAGATTTCATTTTGTGTGTAAAAATGAAAGGGACACATTTTAAAATGTTATAAAGGAAGAAGCAATGAGACTTGACCTAGATGTCTAAGTCAAAGAGAATGAAAATGTCAAAACGTGGCATCCAGAGGCCAAGCATGAGAAACAGTAAGGATGGCAGTATTGCAAAGTGACTGATAATGGGTGAATGGAAAAGCCTCAAAGGGAAAATGACTTTAGTCTGGGCCACATTAAGGTGAAACTAATGGAATCCAGAAGATGATGCAGATTGTGAAGCAAGTCTGGACAATGGAATGATACACTCCAGGGTCAATCAGCAGGTATAGCTTAATCTATATGAGGTGAAATCTTAGGGAAAAGTGCATTAATATTTAACTTTACTTGCACATGCTAAAGTTGATTTAATGTTAACATTTGGAATTAGCACTGGAAAATTATGACTGCTCAAAGCTAAACGGCAGTCAGCTTAAAATACACTTAGCACCTTTGCACAGAGCTGAATGATACACTACTTGTTTTCCCATAGGCACCTTTACATTGGGACGTGTGTGTATACTCAGATGCTGCCCCACCTATTGGGGACCTTTCCTAGATAAAAAGTGAATTCTCTTCCCCTAATTTACCCAGAATTAAAGTTTAACTCCTGCTTAGATATTTCTTTCACCTTACATAATCTTTCATTTATTTTCTCAAAATGAATTGTCACCCTCTTTTTAAATGACTCTATGAAATATTTCAATGATTAAATAAAATTAACTAGCCAAATGCTTCCAATCTGCAAGGCAATGAGTGCTCACTATTTTTTTAAGTGATTCCTATAACGAGCCTTGGCAAAGAATATTAATCATCAATTAATTCATAATAGATTCTAATTAAAGTTATTTTTGCATCCAGGTTAATTTTAAATAACGAATTAAAGATTGGAATGATATTTTCTACAACCAGAACACCTGTATCATCCAACCTGATTTTATAAATCTGACAAAATGGATACAAATATCCAGGTTTTAAAAGGACAACTATTACCACCCCATCCATCCTGTGAACTGACCTCTAAAAGATACCCATCTTTTACAGCCACTACAACCATAGTTCCTGTATGTTACAAAGATGCGATAGAAATCTACCACAATACCTCTGTTGTGGCTTGCCTGTCACCACTCAAACTTGGCTCCATAACACTCCTCAAGCTCTACCTATGCCAGCTCCTGCAATTTGCTGCAAAGCTGTTATTTAACAAATATCAAAAGCTAATGAATTTCATTTTGACAAACATGGAAAAAATGGATTTATTCCACCCCTAATAACCACTGAATATTACAAACAAACTATAGATGAAATATACTCACCAAGTGTGCGCTGACCCGTGTTTGCCACATATCAGCTTGTTTGGGTGTTAGATCAGGAATTGATAGGCCCAACCTCGAAGCTAAAGCTTCAACATAACCTGCAAGACTAAGATAACCACACGCACTCAAATGCTTTTGGCTATGAAAACACTGCCTATAGTAACACACAAGTGAAAATGCATTTTCCTCTGACATACTGTACAGCAGAACCCAGATAGTTCATGGAGTTAAACTGTAGCCCTAGTGAAGATGGGGTTTGCAAACCAGCCAGTAGTTATTTAGTAGCAGGCATCTGTCTGTCTTGTGAGACAACAGAAGTATGCCAAGTGAGATGTTTGCTCACTGAACATAATCCTCACTTGAAAGATAAAGCAAAGATAGAGTGAAGTCTCCAGATGCAAAAGCCTGGGCAGTGTATATGGAAACATTAAGCTGCCCACACACCAGTGTCCCCCTCTCAGCCTCGCTGGTTTAATCCAAAGGAAAGGCAGGTACAAGTACATCTGAAACCAGCTTGGCCACAGGAGCTGCTGAAGCCAAAGAGAT